CGTATTTGCCCAAAACTCTGCCCCTAACCTCAGCATTGCTCATCCGGCTACCCCACCAGACACAGCATAAATGACCTTCCGGATCCCTTACACTTCCGAAAGAAGAATTTGTCAATAAACACACCTTCCTACCAACACCCTTTAAAAGGATAAAAATTACAACCAACTAAATTCCCCGCAGAGTGGAGTGAAACAGGCTACAATATCACTATCAGTACTTCCCATCCGATCGTCGTTTGTACTACCGCAGAGTCATACCTCACCAATTCAACCGAAGTTGGACTCATACGTGCCTAGAGAGCGTTCTCGTCTATCCGTTGACTTAGACAGGTCATCCCTTCTTACCCCTTTGTCCGGATGGTTAGAGACACTGAGTGATGTGGCTGGGTGTCGTAAACAGTGGCGTTCGTACATCTTCTCAATCTCTTTGCAACCTTCGACCACTGAACTTCTCCACTTTCTTTTCGACTCCACTTCCAAGTTTCCTTTCTTCTATTCTTCATCCCAATGGGCAACCAAAGCCGGCGCACAAATATGCGTGGTTAATGGTTGTTCAAACTGAAATGAGCAGACCGACTCCCTCACTGAACTAATGACATCACTGATTGAAGTCGTCCGACCGAATAAATTTAGAAAACCAAGGATAAGTAAAACAGAACACTTAACTACAGAGAACAAAAAATGATAAAATCACATGCGCGCGCGTAAGCGAAGTCACTGATTGGACGCGGAAAATAGCTTCATACTCGAATTTCTGTGGGATCCACCAGCTGGATAACAGTATTCGTGAACTCGCTAAAGTCAAAACTGAGACTCGGTGCAAGATGCATTCGTGAAAGGGCAGCTACCTAAAAAACTTGACTAAGGCGTGGCAAGGTGTGGAAGACAGCAAGCGAATGGGACCTGAAGGTATCCGAGAAGTGTATATATTTCATAATAAGTAGTATGTGGATGACTGGACAAAATTTCCCTGGAAGCACGCGACCGGTTTCACGGTTCTTGCCGCTCGTCAGGCACGCTGACGGCTTTGCTGTCGTCCGGTTTAATACCACTCCTAATGTCACAAGTGTGCTTTGGATCCTATGGTCCGAGGTTCGAGCCCTGCCATCACCCAACTTTGGTGGTAGACAACTTTGCTGTCCTCCGGTTCAGTACGCCTAACCTATCGCGACCTTATGTGGTTCACCACTCCAAGTCCCGGGGCTGAGGTTGCCGGTTATCATCACTGAACATCAGCAGGTCCTCGTGATTATGGGATCCACCCTGTCTGCTGTTCCGCACACACTGGTGCGTAATAAAAAATGTGGGCAGATAGCGGAACGCAATAAAAAGAAGCAAAACTTCCGGAGAAAACCTGTTCCAGACGGGGAATGGCAACCATTCAAGAACAGGGCGGGCACGACACGATTTCAGACGGGATTTGCAGATATACGGAAGTTGTCGGGGTAAAAAAAATTCCCGAATTCGACATATAAAATATGCTTGAGAAATGAGTAAAGGAACGAAGAGAAAATGTGCACCGCCACGGCCTCATAAAAATAACTGAGAGTGAGCGAGAGGAGAAAAGTGCAAATTTTTGAATTTGGGGGAACTAGTATGCATTGATGTGACTAGCGCGGCAGACAAAACCAACACATCTCGCACTGAGTTTTCACGTACCGCTGTCAACAAGTTCGGAATAGTGATAAGACCCTCCTCCGGCGGGGCAACCGACATCTCGGGAACATAATGATAGAAAATTCGGTGTTTGAAACGGACAACTGAAGGCGGATTTTCGTCTGGGAATTCCAAATCGTATCGTTCACGAGTTTCGCTGATTGGTTGGTTGGAAAACGGAATAGAAGAAGAATAAATATTCTTTGAAAAAAAACGGAACAAATACTAACAGCATATATTCCATACGATTCAAGCAGTGAGATTTTAGCTACCAACGAAATAATCATACTTACAAAGAGAATCACAGAAATAAGAAATCTTGAACAATCTTCTTATTCGGGGGGGGGGAACTGGAGCGATCAGCTTGGTGAATGTCCTACTAGTAGACGAATAGGGCGACCTGGTACGACACTTCGTCCATCAACACAACCATGTCAGATGATCAACTGAGCTAACTGTTTAGGGGGAAAGAGGTGATCAGGTCAGATTGTGTATGAGCAGGTAGTTCTCGCGAAACTCCATCCCTGACTTGTTTGCCAGTATGGGAGTAGTACGGTTCAATTGGATTAAGCACATAGTACCGGCAGTCTATTTTTATCCTGTTCCCGTAATGATCAAGGCTCTGTGCCGTAAAGCAGAACTGGTCGAAATGCTGCAGTATATGCCCGACCCTTCACAGACAACCGGATGTCGCGACGACGACACAGATGTCTCAAGTTGGCAAACGCCAACCGAGCTTCCTGTATGCGCGCCGACACTTCATCTCCGATGCGTCCGCCAGGTGAGATATAACTGCCGAGGTAGCAAAACTTATCTACTTTCTCAACAACTTCTCCGGTCAGGGTGAGCCTGGGGAATGGGCCAACCCAATCTTGGAGCAGCATTTTACACTTTAAAGGTACAAAGCGCATACCGAACATCGCTACACTAGCACTCAAACTATCCAGAAAAGCTTACAATATACCTGGATATTCACTTAGCAGCACTATATCGGCTGCATACTCTAGATCAGACAGTCTACCACCTGGGAGTAAATCTGTGCCACTATCCCCGCACGAGGATAGAGCTGTTTCAAGAATTAAGTCTATAACAAAGTTAAATAGAAATGGAGAGAGAGGGCAAGTCTGTCGAACACCACTTTCCGTGGTGAACTCGGGTGAAAAAGTGCCGTTAGCTCGGACTCGGCTTCGGCTATCATAGAGGGATTGTAATATTGAAATAAACTTCTCGGGCATACCCTTCAGGGAAAGGCAGCGCCAGAGTTTAGAGCGGTCGACTGCGTCGAAAGCTAAGGCGACTTGTTGACCAATCTGATAGAGTGTGCGGACATTAGACGCGGCTAAGCGGAAAGGAGATCTTGGTTTCGAAAATCTGATAGCCTCGGAGTGTTTTGCCTTATTAGTTGAACACTGAGTGACATCTCATGGGTAGCGCAAACAAGATGAATCTCTCAAGGTTTGGAGGGGGGGGACAAGCGAGTAGACTGTTGAAAAAGATGGTTTTTCAAATGGGTACCTAGGACTTTTGGGCACGGCATACTTCGCGGTTGCCCACACCGACGAAGGGGTTTTTCGGGAACCCGGAGCCTTCGACTCAAAAGTCCGACCCACAAGGCAGTGGGGCGTAAGTCGAACGCGAGAGCGTGAATGAAGCACTCGTGTGGGAGCTTCTAGAGACCTGTCACGCAAGGCCTTTGAACTTCGGTGTTGTTCGCTGGTGCGTTGATTGTCGGTCCGCTTTTCGGGATCAGCCCAATGAGACAAGCAGAACGTGAACGGGGCAGCACATTGGCTTGGGGCTGCCCAGTTTGGGCGGGCGTTAGCTGTCAAATAAGTACGAAGACTTCTACCACCGTCGAGAGAAAGCCCTAGGTACCCCGCTCCTACGTCCATCTAACGAGGGTGTTTTGACCGGTAAACTGCCCTTCACACTATTTTCTTTTATTGAAGTGGCCTCTCCAGGGGTGGATGTGGATAGAAAAGGAAATCAGGAGGTGCTCGAGCAGTTGGCTTTGTAAGACTGAGCTTTGTCTGGTCTCTACCCATTGACCTTTCAGGCATGATTGGGTCTACCGCTGTGAGAAGCCATCCTGTATAGCTCGCAAGGTCATAGAGGCACGCAAGTTATCACACCACGCCAAGGTGCAGTCTAGTCGTGATGGAAGTTGAAAGTAGAGTCGAACAGAAAATGGAGAATTTCAGTGAAGCAAATGAAGCTAAGAAATTGAGAAGATGCACGAACGCGATTGTTTACGACACTTAGCCATATCACTCAGTGTCTCTAACCATCAGTTACGGTCATCCCGTTGGCTGGGGTCCTCGGGATGATCGTAACCGATGGTTGGAAACACTGTGATATAGCCGGGAGNCGTAAACAGTGGCATTGGTACATGTTCTTAATTTCTTTGAAATCATAGTTCACTGAAATTCCCAATTTGCTCTTCGATCCCGAAGACGTCAAACACACACCTTAGGCGATAGACATCGCACTAAAACACGTCCAAGGTGCGCGATTTCTCCGACGGGTCTATCGGATGGGAGACTTGCGGGATCAGCACAGCAATGTGATCTCGTCAACGTGTAGTTGTTGTTGTAGGCACGCCGTAGTTTCGTTTTAGCAGTCTGTGGTTTGAAAAGGCGTGTGGGACAGACAGGCATCAATCAGTTCACTTACCGATAAACATACGGTCCAACTTCTTGTAGTCGTGGTGCCGCACCCTTTAACACATCGTCCAAATTGGTTAGATTGAACAAATAGACCGAGAAGTAAATAGGCACAGTTGGTTTGATCCAGTTGGCGTAGACAGCTGAACCAGGCAATAAGGCCAGTTGCTGAGTCGATCCAACAGAGTTTGACAGAGGGTAAGGGATAGACAAACCGAATGAGGTGATCAGTATAAGGCGGAACAAATAAAATGCAATACACGCATCGGGATCAACCCCCGTGTGGTTGGGGGAGGGGGGCTTTATTAGTAACGGTGTCACAGCAAACAGACAGTAGCGGATTTTAAACGAATCATTTGTCCGTTCTACCCAAACCCTAAGGGAGTCTAGCTGATGAAAGACGGAATGCATCATCAATGTTTACACATTAAAAAAACATGAGACTGGTGAAAGGCGGGGGACAAATGTCACTGACGAGTTCATGAATTTATTCTTGTCCAAAAGACAGGATCATCCTCTAATATTCAGTGAACGAAAATCATTGAATATCAGTTGACACTGAAAAGTAGCCAATTGGGATTGTCACAGCACATGAAGTCCAGGAAATGACAGTCAGAATTAACGGGACTGAACTCAGATATGTCGGTTCATACAGCTTCAGGCAATCGATAAACGATCATTCTCTCATTGACACGTCAGGTATTGATATCTGGGGGGGGGGCTGTTATCCTTCAAACCTAGCTCAGATGAAATTGTGTACAAAATGGTACACGCGCCAACAAATGCATCACAGATCTACATGCACATATTATAATCTGTTCTGGACTGAAAAACGACCAAACACACACAAAAACCGCTTCGCCCACTGTTACTGGGCTAGTCAAACAACCGTGCAGAAAGAGGACAGGAAAGGTCGAGCAACGGTGAGCAAAGACATACGAGAGAGAGAGAGGGGATGACTTACTTTATATAAAAGTGCAATAAATAGTCGATCAAAGATCAGGACTGTGACCAAAGTGATGAGGGCGACAATGACAAACAAGGCGGCTGAGGTGATCAGCAAAATTTTGATCGGTTTTGAACGAATTGCCATGTTGGAGCTCGCGAACACGACGACCACAGAGAGAAAATGTGAACGATGAACGTGTCAGGACGGAAATTGCAGAACAAAAGGAACAGGACCGATGGGAATTGTTCCGAAAATTGATAACGGTTCCCGGGTAGGTGCGAAATTCAGTCGGCCGTCGATGAAAAAACACTAGGCACCCCGCACGCAATCAAGCACTGATGGGTGATTAAATCGAACACGCACAGATATAGCGAAAGTTTGGGTGTGTGAGAGAGGTGGGA